AATTGACATAATAAAATGCTGTTTGATGTAGACAATTTCTAGGACAATTATCAAAATCCACCATTAATTGAATGTTAAATTGTAAAAGCTTGCTTATCAAGGATGTGGATCAATCCTTCTCATAATTGCACGGTGGATTCTGTGAACTTGATGTTATTGATACAACAATGTCATTTTCTGAAATATAACATGACTTTTCTTCATGCAATTTCGCGTTATCAGAAATCAGAAGACTTTTCGTCCAAAGAAAAATGCTCCATCCGGAATTAAGGTTGGTGTTTTGCTTTCTCCTAGTCATTTGGTTTGTTTATTTCATGGTTCTTTGTATATATGGTTGGTGGAATTGTTATTTTTCAATGTCACATTGCAGGGTGCTCAACTTCAAAAACACATAGATGCAACCTTGGGCAGTGGGAACTTGAGAGAAGCCGTATTACTACCTCCTGGAGAAGATCTTAATGAGTGGCTGGCAGTCAACAGTAAGAATCTCAAATTGTAAATTCATAATTAGTTGTTAAATTTGATTATATGGTTGAGGAATCTCCACTCAGAATTTTTTTCTCAACTTTTTTATGAGACAAATTTCTGAAACAACTATAACCCTTTATTCCTTTGGTGTGTCTTGATTTACATACATGCACTCAAACAAGATGAACTATTAATGATTTGTCAAATTGATTTCTATTCATTTTGCTCTTTTTCTACAGCGGTAGACTTCTTCAACCAAGTGAACATTCTATATGGTACTCTCGCTGAGTTCTGCACCCCAGACAAATGCTCTACAATGTCAGCAGGACCAAAGTATGATTCTTAACCCCCTTGAGTGAAATTCTCTTTGTAATCTGGAATGTTAATTCAGTTTTCATGATACTCATACTTCATCACCATTAAAAGGCCTTTTTTAATCTTCCTCACCTTTTAACATTTATTTTGTTCCACTAAAGTCTTGAACATGGATTAGTGATCATAATAAGAGGTGGCAATTGGAAAAGGAAGTTGAAGTACGTGATATCAGGTCCAAAGAATGCCTTTTCCATTTTGGCCTGATCAGTCTACCAGCAGCTTTTGGAAGCAGTGTTATTTTTAAACCTTTTGGTTCTTATTTATAGAGGGCAATTTCATTGTTACTCTATAGTCTTAATGGCCTCAAGTATCCTTCATTCCTCCACATACTCATGGCCATGTCACTTGTTACAGATATGAATATAGATGGGCTGATGGAGTTACAATTAAGAAGCCAATAGAGGTTTCTGCTCCAAAGTATGTTGAGTATTTGATGGACTGGATTGAAATTCAACTAGATGATGAATCAATTTTCCCACAAACAATAGGTATAGTTAATTTCATGACAAAGCCAGATTTTCATCTCTATTGTGTGGTGTTCTTCTTCTTCTTCTTCTTTTTACAACTTTTTATGTTTTGCAGGGGCACCTTTTCCACACAATTTTCAAGATATTGTGAAGACAATTTTTAAAAGATTGTTCCGAGTATATGCTCACATCTACCACTCACATTTTCAGAAGATTGTGAGTTTGAAGGAAGAAGCTCATTTGAATACCTGCTTTAAGCATTTTGTTTTGTTTACCTGGGTGAGTTATTAACAAGTTTTCAGATACCCATTCCATGCATTCTCCCTTTCTACTCTGTTTATATAGTATTTATTTCTTTTGTGTTCCTTTCAAAGTGTCACATTCCTATGATTAATTGCTGCTAGACAAATAATTATTGGCTTAATCTCACCAACTTAGAAGCTGGCAGTCAAAGCAGAGATTTCATTCATTAAATTGAATCTTATTGTCTACTGCCATAAATACCCAATGATAAAATCAAGCAAACAAAACCGCCTTTCGGTTTGCAAATCACGTAGTAAATTGAAGTGGAATAATTGCTCCTTTTAATTAATTTGCAAAAATGTGTGTAAACACTTTTCTTGGATTTTTTTTTTTATTGTTTATTTTTTGTCAATTAGTGTTTTCTTTTCCTTCATTTTCAACTGGGGGCAGGAGCTCATCTTCTGATTTTCCTTTTTGAAAAACTTGTTCCATTTGATATGAATGGCTGGCAGTTTGCCTGCTGTTAAATGATTCTTCAGGGTTTCAAATCTAATTAGCTGTTATGTTATGCAGGAATTCCAGTTGATTGACAAAGGGGAGCTCGCACCTCTCTCTGACCTTGTGGATTCCATTCTTCAGTTATAACAGTGGTCTTTCATTTTTACCCTTTCAACTTTCCTGGTACACAGTTTTATGAGCTTCTATTTTGCTCATGATATTTTTGAAAAGTGAAGAAGCCTTACTCCCCCTGCCTCCAGTCCCTGTGATGATTTCACTGTACTTTCTCAGAAATCAAGAGATAAACTTTGTTCCCAATGGAATTTCAACTTTCAAGTGATGGCTGCCATAGCTGCACTCCTTTTTCTCTCAATAATCAATTTTCCTTTTGCTCGCTATTAACTTTATGTTTGAGTCGAGGGAAATGAAAGAGAAGAGAAAGATTTTTAACTAACCAAATTATAATGTTTTTAAAATTCCTAAGTCGATAAGAATCAATTTATCGAAGTAAATCATTTGAAAGTTGTTTTCTGTATTGACCCCTTGTTCTAGTGTTCATTCTTTCACAACAAGATCAGGTAGGATTTATTTTCCAGAAGAAGAAAAATGAACAAAACATTTCCACTTTGCACATCCATCTATCTCGGCTGTGTTAAAACTAATTAAAAATAATCATATTTTCCTTAAATTAATTAAAAAGAATTAAATTTTCCTAAGTGGTATTATCGTTATCCAAAAGTAATACAATCAAGTTGGCATCTCCCCCAATATATCCCCCACAAATTATTCAACCTCCATTTCTCTTTTATACCACCGAAACCCAAGCCAAGGAGAAACGTGTACAGCAGACAGGGGAAGATATCAAATTTCAGTATGGGAAAGTATATCACCTTCTTTGAGAACGGTATACCAGATGTATATCTGCAGCACCTTTGCTACGTCAATGCAATAGGTTGTATGCAAACTAAGAGATTACCTCAACTGACCAGGCGTTATCCAATGAATTTGTTGGAATTAGTCCAAGTTTTGAGCAAGTAAGATTGTCTCCTTCCAGAATGGTATGTTTGGAACAATGGCAAGACATCCTTCCTTTTGGATCTTCTTAAATGAGCTATAAGAATTCACAGATCCTAAATTGTAATTTGTAAAGTTCTATCTTCTGTTCTCTCACAGATACATCCTGGAAGAGAATTTGCATAAAAATTCTCCTCCAGTTTTGGAAACTCTCCAGCCTCTCTATGATATGGTGCCCCAACTCTATCTTTGTGAAGCCTTTTCACTTTGGAGCTGAATTTCTTCCAAGAAATTTTCCCCTCATCGTATTGATCCACAAGCTTAACAAAATTCATCCTGCAGCAACAAATTAATAATCATTTGTTATGTGTCTTGTCTGGAATTGGTGCTTATCATATGCAATAGAAATATCAGGTACATATTCCTTCATGAATAACAATGAAAGTATGAAACTCAATAATGGAATGACCTTCCTTTGACTCGACTTTTTGTTACACCCAAAGGAGAAAAAAGAAAAGAAAAGAAAAGAAAGGACAACCAGATCAGAGACGTTAAAAGTTAATTTGCAGCAAATGAGTTAGAAATATTACTTTTCTGGATTGATAGTCTTCTTGAAGTTCTCAAATCGCCTATGACCTTGAACTGCCTTTGCCATATTTCCATCATAAGTATAAACAAATACGTCACTTTGAAGGGCAACAATGTAGTCTAAACCAGCCAGCATGTTCCGGTGATTCTCAAAAGGCTTTAACTCCTCCTCCGTGGCAAGGGAGGAATGTGAGAATATATTAGGAAAGTCATTTGTAAGATATTGCATGCTTCCATTCCCATAAGATTCACCTGATACCAAGTAAATCCGGGTGCTTGAAGGGAAGCCCAGTGCTGTAAGCAAAAGTGAAGTTTCCCTTGGTGTCAATGGGCAACCTCCAAGCAACCTTCTCTCTGTACCATTAATCTCTTTCTCTTTCCAGTGGCTGACTTCATAACGCATCCTGTGCAGCTCATCATCTTCTTCTGTTGTCAAATTATGACTGCAGCCTGTAAATGCCAACATATCCTTTTCGTACCTATAATTAAAAGAGGCAAAAGAGTAAATCAGTACCAAGTTCTAATGTTCTATATGGTAATATCAACAGTACAATTTCTCATGAGAACATTATAACTTATGGTCATTATTGATTATTAAGACCATAAGTTAGAAACCCTAAAAGCTAAATTGGACTTCCCCTATTTTTTTAGCTGATTAAGAGCAAATTAACATTACTTTGTCTGTATCTAGGGGTGCAATGAAAACAGTGAATGATGTTAACAAATGACAAGACTGTCCTAGCAGGTTTCACATCAATAGAACTTATTCTCCAAATAAGCAGATAAGAAGCTGATTGAACATTTTCTACCTAAGTTAAGGTCAGAATCCTAGAAATGTGTTAATAATGTACATGAGAACTATTTTACTTGCCTCAAGTGGAGAGCAAGATATGGGCCTCCATTCTCACGCATCCTAGAAATCAAGGTGTTTCCAAGTTGTTGAATTGGAGCTGAATATTTTAGTGCCACATAATTTACACGACACCTCAGCATTTGAATGGAACTTGGGAGATCATTGTTGGCAAGCCTTGAATCAGTGTGAGTAAAATAGATCACTTTGTGCTGCTTCAACAGGGGCAGAACCTCTTTTTTATAATAGCTAACCTGAATCCAAGATAAGAGCCAGTTAGTTGTTATCTCATCTATATCCATTACATGTTGGAAAGAATAATGGAAAAAAACCGTAACACTGCATCCCCAAGAAACATACTGTATTTTCCACAAGAAAGCTAGGAGGAGAGTTACAGAGAAATTTGATTCCAACCTTAGACCAAGATATTGGTGTTTTGTTAAATGGTTCAATTTTAGAATAGGCTGGCGGTAATTCCTCAACTATGTGGATATCATCCTTTAGTGTTTCAATGAAGTGTTGCCAGTCAAAGAGATCTTTAAAGCCACTGCAAAGTTACAGATCATACCGATTAGCTCTAAGCACATAAAAAAAAAAATTCATCTTTTTCAATCACTAATACAATATTTAAACCTCAACCACGTGTTTACCAGGAATGTGCTGTTTCTTGATTTAATAAATAAACTATAACATTATTTTGCTTTTTCCTAAAGCATCTGAAATGCAGCCTATTAGTTTCAATATTGAACACTCCATTACAGGAGCTTAGTAAATGCTGAACTGAAAGTTACAAAGAAGGGTATTTGTAACAGAGTAGCATAAATAAACAAAGAAACCAACCTCTCGTCAGCCCAGTAGGATGTATGATCGAGTGAAGGAAGGACAAGTGTTGCCTTCATAATCTTAGCAATAGCAACCATATCGCAAATCTGCATTCTAAAATTATTGAGACATTAGACTCAAGCAATAACTATGCCAGTTCTGCTTCTAAAAACAATGAAAACACACAACAGCCAGACCCCAAATCTCATCTGATTCAAACCACCATTAGCATTGCTGAGAATATAGCCATTTGTCTTTGCGTCTAATTCTGCCAAGAAAACAACAAGAGTTGCTGAGAGGAGAATATAACTGAACCATCCATAGCAAAAAATACGATAGTTCACATGCACAAATGTAGAGAGAAGTAAAGTAACTGTATAGATGACATACTTTTGTGACTCTTTGAATGGTCAATGCACTGGGTGAAATTCTCACTGTTGGGTTGGGACCAAATACCTAAATGCTGAATGAGAAGTGAATATCACAAAACAAAGGCAACAATCAACATATAAATAAGATGTCAATGCTTTGTTTACTTCTCAAGATACTTAATTTTAAGCTTTTCATCAACGACGTTCTTCCTCAGAACTGAACAGAAAGAGGGCAAGACATTTTAACTGCTTAAGATACAGATTTGAAACTTACTTCAGTGGTGTCCTGGCTATTAATTTCACCCGATGCCATTGTCTTTAAAGTCCGTTCTACATCGTTTCCTCTGTCCCTATATCTATAATCATGAGACGCTTGTTGTAACAGAGTAATGGAGGAACCAGAAAATTCCTAAATAAAACAGTAGAGAAGCTTAGATAAGATAAAGGGAGACGGTAAGGACCAATAGAATAAGAGAACACACAGACAAAAGGAAGAATAAACAAAAAGACCCTACAATAGCAGACAACTAACCAGCATTGAACAATACATTACCAACAAAAAGCTTTGCTTGTGGCTTAAAATAAGATTTAATATATTTCACCAAAATCATGGGTATGAAAATTACGTTTCTTGTATTGATCCTTGTATAATAAATGAAAAGTTGGACACAATTCAAATGTAGTCAACTCATAACAGTGACTGAAAAAAAAAAATTCGAATTTATGTGCGTTCATGATGTACAATATCGATGTATGCAGCAGTGATTTTGAAAAAAAAAAGAAAAAAACCTGATTGAAGGCAACACTTTCAATGGTGGATCCAAACCACCCAGTTGTACAAATCTTGAAAACACCCAAAAACAAGCACAACCCACAAAACGTAAAGAACATCCAGTGCCCGAGCTTCTTCCTCTCCTTCAACCCCAACTCGAACACCGTAGATCCAACACTGGGTTTTCTTAGCAGACCCTTTCCCACACCCCCATTAACTCTCTGGCTCAACCCATCCACCGGCGCTGAGTTGGATCCCAGTCCCACCTCAGATCTGGGCGAGTTCAAATGCAGATCAATCTCGTGATGAACACTCAAACTGTTGCCGTTCCCGTTGTTGTTGTTGCCGCCGCCGTTGTTTCCAGCGCTGTTCTGGGTATTCCCATTCCGCTTGAACGAGTGTGCCCGTCGAGTCACATTGAGACTCGAGAAGCGGGGGCTGTGTACCCGCTGAGAAACGCCATCGCTGGTGTTGTGATGGTGGTGCTGCGTGTGGTGATGACCCATGTCTTCTTTGAGCCTAATATAGAGTAATTCTCACTAACATCAACGGATGCTTATGCTTAGACTAAATCGCCATTAATGAATCAGAAGAAAAAGCAAATGGAGAAGGAGAAAACAAAAAAGAAGAAATGCTGGGAATTTTCTTTCCCGCTGTCTGAAATTTGTGACTTTTCGCAGAAATTTTCGGTGTCTCCAGGTTGGCTCGACAATTATTGGGATTGTTGGTTTTCCACAGGTATACCAGTGTTATTTTCCTTGTATATAAAATTAAATTAAAAAAGTGGGGGGAGGGGGAAGGAATGACTGTGCATGTATTTTTATTTATATTCATTTGCATGTATTCATAATTATATTCAATATTAATTAATTTATAATTGAATCGAGTCAAATTTTATTAAAAGAAATTTTTTTTAATATTTTTATTTTTATTCATAAAATTAAAATTTAAAATGTTATTTAAGAGAAATCAAACTCTTTTTACTTTAAGTAACAAATCTTTCATACAGTACATGTATTTAATATTGAAAAATTGGTGCACAACACGTATTATTATTAGGTGAAATAAATTTTTATATTAAATGTTTTTAATTTATTATTTTTATTTTATAATTAAATATGATTTAAAATAATAAAATAAAAGATTTTTTAAATAAAGACAATAATTTTTTACTTTAATTACATGAAATAATATTTTTTTAATTTAATTTTAAGAAATTTAATTTTTTAATAAAATAAACTCATTTCCTTATATTTGGTAATTATATTAAATATCAATTAATTCATAATTGAGTCAGGTCAGATTCCATTAAAAAGAGACTCTTTTAGTACTTATGTCTCTATTCACATAATTAAAACTTGAGATATTATTTAAGAAAAATCAAATTTCTTTCATTCGGACCAACAAATCTTTCATACGGTACATGTATTTAATACCAAAAAATTAGTGCACAACACGTATTATTATTAAATGAAATAAAATTTTATATTAAATGTTTTTAATTTATTGTTTTTATTTTATAATTAAATATAATTTAAAATAATAAAATAAAAGATTTTTTTAAATAATGACAATATTTTTTTATTTTAAATTAGACGAAATAATATTTTTTCAATTTAATTTTAAGAAATTTAATTTTTTAAAAAAAAGAATAAATAAGAAAAATTTAAAACCCAAAAAAAAAATAATTAATTTTTTATGTGATATTTATTTCTAGTTAATTACTATTAAAATAAATATTTTTATTTAATACTATATTTAATAATTATTTTTTAAAATAAAATAAAATAAAAATAAACTTATTAAATGACATCTTAAAATGAAAAAATAAATAATTAAATTTAAATATTTTAAATTAAAAATTAAGTCTATTAAAATTAAATGAATAAAGTATTACTCTACCTCAAATGGCCATTCTCATATGGAAATTTGTGATATCATTCTATTTTTATAATTCACAAGGTAAAAAAAATGAAAATTATATTCATAGTATTAATCTCTATAGTAATATGGAATATAGTATCCGTTCCAATCACTTTTTTGCTACCTCCCCCCCCCCATCTTTTTTTTTTTGGTAAAACCCTACTTTTAACCTTTTACATTACTAAATTTGTAAGTTTTAACCCCTCACCTTATACTGTAACGTTTTTAACCCCTCACCTATTAAAATTAAATAAAATAACCCTAACTTATAACATTTTGTTAATTTTGTTAGTTAACTGTTAATTCTATTAACTAATTGTTAGCTAGTAAAAACCTACTTTCAATTAATAGAGTTAACAGTCAGCTAACATAACTATTCTATTAGCTGATTGTTAATTCTATTAGCTGATTGTTAATTCTATTAACTGACTGTTAACTAATTATTAGTTAGTAAAAACCTACTTTCAGTTAATAGAGTTAACAGTCAGTTAATAAAACTAACTAAATATTATAAAATGAGGGTTATTTGTTTCAATTTTAATAGGTGAGGGACTAAAAGTGGTATAGTATAAGGTGATGGGCTAAAACCTACAAAATCTAGTAAGGTAAAGGGCCAAAAGTATGTGTTTGCCTTTTTTTATGGAATTATTTGGCTATTCTATGTCTGGATTTAATGCAAATTTTTTTTCTAGGATGCTGGATTTAATTTACTCAATGTGTGTCATAGGAAAGTTTCATTGGAAGAAATAAATGATGGTTCTAGGCATTCTGATGGTAATGTAATTACTTATTTTGTTTTTTAGTGTAAATTTATTATAGTAATGTTATAATTATAATTATAATTATAATATTAAATATAATTGTAAATTTATAATTATAATATAATATTTAATAAAAAATTATAAATTCATAACATCATATAATATTACAATTATATTATTTTTAAAATTATAATGCTACAATATTATAAAATTTTGGTCACAAATAGGATTGGACTGCCGAGGAAAAACATAGACGGCCATGTAGGTCTAGCCAATTTTAGTGACTTTGATTGTATGTTTGAGTTGAGAAAAATACAAATAAAAAAAGAGAAAAAGAAGAAAAGAAGAGAGTTTTTTAATTATTTAAATTATCATATTCTTAAATATTATAATTTAATTAATTAAAAAATTCATCTTTTTTGTCTTGACATGATGAAAATGATGCAATACTCAAGTTAGAAATTATAAAAGCCCAAAAGACTAATGGTATATTTGAGTCGAGGGAAATAAAGA